ACACACACAGAGGAAAAAAAACTATACAAAGTTAAGTTTTTTGTAAAGTTCTCAGTATAAGATGGAAATTAGATTCAAACTAAATCTGTTACCTTCCAGAGTGGCGACACAGGAGGAGCCAAATTGCAGTCAAAACGAGACCTGAAAATTCTCTAAAGGGATAAAAACTATATTAAATATCCATGTATAAAAATAATAATCTGCAAAATATGTTACATTAGTGTTTTATACAGAATTAAACTATAATGATGCAGCAGAATGCCTTTAATGAAGTGAAGCTTCATTATAGTTATACCGTCTGATAGGCAGCACATTTTTTTGAATGGAGAGCCTAAAAATGCGTAAACGGTTTGTTTTTCTCAGATCAGGTGAGGTGTGGCGTACCTGCCCTCCTCCTTCTGGAAGATCTGTGTGATTTGCTCTTTGTAGAGCGTCCATCCCAACATGGCACTGATCGCACTGGAAATCAGCACATGAAGGTCAGCAACACGCCTCCAGGGCAAAGTCTCTGAAAAGGAAACAAAAATAATGAAGGCAAACAATTGAAATCACAACCCAAACTCTGCAACGAGCTGCACAGTCAGGATACAGCCGCAGGGTGGCGCTACGTGCACTGGGGAAATGCACGAGTAAAGTTCAGCAGCAACGTAAGATACCAGCTTCATGCACGTTAACATGAGGACTTTATTGTTAATATGCGAAGCATCTACTGACAAATGACTCCAAACTCATCCCTGTACCTGTCACATGAGGCTTCACAACAATACACGCACTCAGGACTGCAGGGACGCCGTAACCAGCCTGAAAAAGAGGGTGGCGTTTATAATAAACTGTGCAAAAAGATCAAAATGTCTAAAAAAAATGGACCAAAAAAAGTGTACTCTTGTGTAATCTTACCATCCATAAACCTGCATCTGGATCATTGATCTGCAGCGGAAGTCAGGACATAGTTATTGATCACAGTTCAAAGAAGTGCTGAGAGAACAAAAAATCAAACTCTCACCTGGACGTACGACGCCATAGCGAAGAACAAACACATGAAAACGTTGCAGATTTGCCAAACAACACGAAGCCACGGCTTCCTCTCCTTACAAACTTCTCCCATAGCTGCTTATTGTTTCACTTCCCCGCCCGGGCCAACGGGACGTGCACACGTTTTAAAGCAGGCGCACCTGCAGTTCCGCAAGGCTGTCAAATTGGTCAAAACCGTGATGGGTTCGTTCGATATATATCACGTCTGCTGACGGATGCATCGATCACAGGCGGTGTAAACGACACTCACTATCGCGTTGTTTCTTTATTTTATTTATATATTTACTTTTTATTTTGTTTAATTATCCATAATTTGCACAAAAAAGTAATTAAAGTTGTTAATTTAATATGTCATATCCCGCATGCATCTTCTAAAACAAACAAACGTGTACGTAAGCATCAAATAAACCTGGCACCCTTTTATTCCTGGACACCTTGATCGATAAATCGAGCACACATTTCAAAAGTCCGCAATGACGTTAGTCTGCTAGAAGACACGCCTTATCCGATTAATCAGACGCGTCCTTGCCGCCGCCATCTTGCAGCGGGGTTCTGAGACCAGTTAAAGATGGAATCGGGACAATTTTCCATATTCTGCTACTGTGAAGATGCTGATAAAGTTCTCCACAGCAGGGAAATATGATCTAAATCCTTTAAATGCTTTATCAGGATGAGGATTGTTTTGTTTTCCTCATGTTAGGTTTGATTTATTGTATTTTTGTCTTTTCTTTGTTGTCATTGTTGTTGTTGTGTTATTTTAACATGTTCAAAATAAAACCGCAAAAAGGAACAGGCTATGTTTCGATATTACTTACACAAAGCATGCAGTTAAATATCATTTTACAGAAGCTCCTTCTCTGTTTGTGTGTTTTAATATGAACACTCGAAGGTTTGCATTTATTTGTCTCCAGTTTCTGACGTTTCTGACATGAAATATTTTCCTTTTAATAATGGAGATCCCGGTTATGATATATATTTATATGCCTTAATAATGCACTAGGAATTACAGTAGTTCCCCGCACCAATATGGTGGCTGGGCGGAGGTGTTGCTGCAATGATTTATGATATCTTTACAAAATAAAAGTACCATGAGTATAAACCTTGTCACTGGTCAGAACAAAGACCAGAAAAGAAAGAAAAATGTCTGAAAATCTAAACTAAAGCAAACAAAGCTGCTTAGATTTTTATTTATTTTTTTGTTTCATTCTTCTTCTTTTGTTGAATATAAATGTGTAAACACTACTTTAACAATTTTGTATTAAATCAGCAGACTCAGACTCTTAAATTATACTAGTAAAGTTTCATTTGTTTAGTTGTTTCAAGCCCACAAAATTTAACTGTAGCTTTGACATTGCTTGTATGTGGTAAAAAATGGCATTAAAATACATAATAACTTGATTTACACGTGTGCACACAGCATTGGGAATCTATTACGTTGGTGCAAATCAAAGTGACAGCAGGTGCAGCGAAGCAGCAACACAAGACAGTTTAGCAGGTGCTGGTCATGGGTCACTGCTCTTTCACTTCTCACAGATTTTTTTGCCTGTTTTACATTTTGCTTTTTTGTCTTATACTGTGACAATCAAGTGTGCCCTGAATATTAATTTAAATGTACCATGCATTTATTTCGAGAATTATCTAAATTAACTGTGATCTATAAGAAGTATAAGGAGTGAACACAGCATCCAGCTCAAAACAAAAAGCAAAAAGGTTTCACCTCAGATGAACTTCAGTGCAACCTTAGACACTATTATTTTAACATGTATCCAGCCTGAAGCTTGTAGATTATTCCAGGAAGAAGGGCAACATGTTCAAAAGCTTTTTGGTAATTTGGATGTTTTTATGTAGAGCTGTGAAGGCTTTTCTTGGCACGCTTTTACACATTCTGCAGGATAGTACACTGAAAGCACACTGAGTCACAAACAGGTTTAATCAATGTGGCAGTGAGCTAAAATGAGGTGAAACTCCACTAGATACTTATTTTGAATCTAATATAGTCAATTTACCTCAATTTCAGTTTAATTTCAATTAAATTTCACTTATTCCATAAAATGTAATTCAGGATTCTGTGTCATATCTCCTGCTTATAATATCTCTTAAGGACATTGATGTGACTCCTAATACATTTTAGCCAAGCACTGCTGTATTTTATTTTGAAACAAACTCCGTTGAACGTCGATTCTGTCTGCTGCTCGCGTGTCGGCCGCTACTTATGTATGTATGGAGGGACAAAGGTGCCAAAATGACATAACTAAATAAATAAATAAATAAATGAAGTTACATGAATGAAATCAAGCCGTAAATAAATACAATACAATACAATATCATTGATTTAATAAATATCCATTCATTTTATCACTGTTTTATTATTTTGTATTTCCTGTGCTGCAGTGCATCATGGAATAATTTACGCTGTCAATCGCCAACAGACTCTAGCATATGGTTACCCTGTACAGCAAGTCAAGACAGAGAATGGATGACTGCCACAATCAGTTAGTGTTGGTGTCCACTTGGCTGCCAGGTATCCCATTACGGATTTTGACTAAAATCCCAACTGGTAATGATGGAGGATCGTGGGACAAAGTGCAAGTCAAATGCTTTTTCTGTTGTTACATTCACCAAATACACTTTGGGGTTTTTTCTTATTTTTATTTATTTTTTAGTTGTGAATGTAGTGACACGATCTTCAAATGTCTAAATGATTTGTCAATGTAGAGTCTACTTGGAGAAGTGCTCCATTGTTTTTGGAAATCTGTGGTTAGCCTAACACCCAGTTTGCCTTAGCAGCTATGAGCTGCTGCACAATCTGATATCCTCGTGTTGGTGTTGTTCCCAGATCATCATACTAAATGTTGTTCCAGGATCAACATTGCAAGTGACCAATCAGAATGTTGTGACGTCATACTTTTGCGACTTCGGGAAAAACCGGTGTAAAACAAAAAACTGTACTTAAGCTGCGAGAAACCGCCTCTGTCCGCCAATCAACGGACCCTGACCCTAACCCTAACAGTAACCCTTTAATAAACAGTAAGCAGAATTGATATTGTCCTTGCAACATTGGAATTTCATAAATGCACGAATGGCTTGGCGCGCAAAAGAATAACGTCACAACAATGTGATTGGTCACTTGCAATGTTGAACCTGGAACAACATTTTCATGATGGTCTGGGAACAACACCAACACGAGGATATCAGATCATCCCTGAGGGGCCCAGGCTGTCAGATCTCACCTAATTGGCACACCTGAAAAGAAGTCTATTCCCAGCACTCTGTTTTCAAAGCACTCACCCTAATCTCTAAATGGATGGAAAAACTGGATTTACTCCTCTTAGGTGATATCAAACAGGTGATGATTTCTTCATTTCAGTGTTTTATTTCTTCAACAACAAATAAGTTTTGCTGATATCAAAGTTAATCTTGGACTGGACAGTTTCAGTGGAGCACTGTCAGTATATTTTAAATTGTGTCACTTGCTTGTTTTTATACCTGATGTTCAGATTGTATTATACTTCTTTATAGCGTTTTATTTTCAATTAATTAATTAACATCAATTAACTGACACTGAAAATATTTTAATGCAGGGAAAGAACTCAGAACCTTTTCATTGGGGGCAGAAACATCTGGACCAGCAGGTGCTGAAGAGTGATATCATGCCAGATTAAAAAAAATATTTGTTATCAAAATTTAGTCAACTGTATTCTAAACACCAACTGTCTGTTATAAGTGTTGAAAGTCTAACAAACAACAAATAACAACAAGCAAATGAATATGAAAAGGGCTTTTTCAATGAGAGTTATGTACACATTTATAGTATTTTTAGGAGAGATCTACAGAACAGTCTGTTAATTAATTATCATATTATATCTAATATACTGGCGTACCGTTTTTCACCACCATCTTCCAAATGAGTCCAGGGTTTATGTCCGTTCACTTAGAACGTCAGGGATAATGAATTATTTATCGACGCATTTCATGTTGGCACTGTTGGCCCCCCATACAGTGGGTGTTGACATGTCCGTGTCATTTGGTCAGCTGATTGCGGGTCGTAAAGCCTCTGGGATAGCCAGTTTAGTTAGCCTAGCTTGGCTGTATGTTTGTTTTTTTTAACGTTGGTACAAAGGTGGCCTTTAACGTAGCCCTGACATTTTAAAAAGCTGTAGCAATTTACGGCATTTCAAGCGCCGCTGCCTGCCTTTTTTTGCGGCTGTTAGCCTAGCAACGGTTAGAGTGGCCGTGGGGAAGGGAGTGAAGTTGCTCTCCGAGTCTCTGCATTGCAGCTCCGGGTGCTGCTGATGGAATTCAAACACACAACAATGGCGACTCCCAGCCCTAACAACTCAACAACACCCAGCAGCAACAACGCAGGAGTACACCAGCAACACCAGTCCCAGTCCCAGCACATTACCACCATGAGCAGCATGCAGGGTAAGTGGGAGGCGGTGGGAAATATTCTGGTGAAGCTGGAGGAGGAGGGGAGGGCTCACATTCTGCTGCAGTGAAGGTTAATGTTAGCAAGGCTAGCCGTGGGAGGCTCAGGCTACTCCCAGGACTGAAAAACATTCCCAAGGGAGCGGACTAGCATCCCCTCTCAGACAGGAGAGCTGTTATTGCCGAGTTCACCAATTGGAAAAATAATCAATTTATTATTTCTTTGCTAACGAGTTAAATGTCCTTGTTACCATTTTTTGGTGTTTTATTGCCCCGTTGCATCCTGTTTTTCTATTGCCTGGACATATTCTCGCCAAGTCCCATTACAAAAACAGGCAATTTTAGCTAGCGGTGATATTTCTTTATCGTACATAAACCTATTAAAATATTTATGTTGGTAAATAACACAGACAGTGGAGGGACATTGTTCAGCTTAGATTAGAGCAGTGTTTCTGAATGCACTTGGGTTGCAGCACTCTTGACATTCAAGATGATCTTCCACACGTACACGGTGGCTTGCACCTCAGTTATGTTAGTGTTACGTAGGCTGACTTTATCAAAACGCACAACGATTAAGATTTTCTCAGAAATATTTGCTGTACGTTGATGGCAATAACGTAAGTTAAATAGCTGGATTCGTTATTGGAGTTTAGTTATATCGGATGCATTATTTGCAGATCTATTAAGCAGCAGGTTTATGCAACTCAGTGCAGCACATCTCCATACTTGCTTGTGCAGACAGTAGTGAAGGCTTTCTCAGCACCACCACACGAAAATGCTCTTTACCTATGCTGTGGTTTTTGTACAAACAGTCTCTCATTTTAACTTTCAGAGTCCAACACCTGCTGGAGATGTCAGAGTGAAACAGGTAGCTACACACTTCCTTGACTTAGTAGAGTCAGATAAGCAGATGACTTTAAAAATACAGTGTTTAATCTGGATAGTAAATTCTTGGGAAAATGAAACAGCTATTACATACTCTGATTTAGAAAAGAAATCTCACAATATACTGATGTAAGAATCCCTGAATCATGAAGGTGAATATTGCTTGATTGGAATTAGGTGTATTTCACTTTAATGTAATCAGTGTAAATGAGATGCATGCATTTTTCAGCCCTCGTAGATGTCACAATAATAAACTTGATGCCACTTTAATTAAGCCTAACGTTAGCGATAACATAACCTTCAAGTGCTTTGATTGTTTAATTTTTATATTTACATTTACGTCACGTAATCCTGTCTCTGTTTACTTTTCCCTGACTGTATTTCATCTTTCATTTTAATGCTGCTAACTAACGATTCCTAACTCCTCCCGTGATGCTGATGGATGGTGAGCTGTCCTAAGAGGAAAAACAAAAGTGTTTTATTTATGTACACATTTGTTGTTGTTGTTGTTGTTTTTAAGTTCAAATAATTTCACGATCATAAGTCATGCTCGTTCCTTTTTAGTTTTACCTGCAGGCCATTTTTCCTTCTTCACTGACTGACACCTCATCCTGCTCCAAGTGCTTGGCTCATAAACATGCGTGCATGCCAGTGCATTGCCATTCAGGAAATGCATTTAACCTGCGATAGATGCACCCGAATGTTTGACAGCTCCGAAACTAAAGCCAGGGCAGTTTTTGTAAATTGCTTCTCGGGCTTTTGAGTTGTTGGGATATTAAAGTCAAAACTGACAAAGTAGTAGTCTATCTCTTGAGGTATATAACACAGGCTGGCATATGGAAGGTGAAATATAATAAAAATAAAAAGCTGTCTTCTCACCTCTAGGGTTTCAGATAAACCTGTCTGGAGCTCCCCCAAGTAAGCCAAATCTCTTTTGCTTCAGCACCAACAGTTCTCATCCCTTTGTTTCTGCCTGACAGTCTGGTATGGGGGAGTCTGTCCTGCTGTTCTTTACTAATCTGAGTCAAAACTTCTGATGGGTTCAAGTAGGCTTGTGCCGGTACCTGATGCTTTTAATATGACCTTTTCAGATATCAGGATATATCAGGCTACAGACGCATGCAGTTATAGAAATGTTGTTTGTTTTGTCCATGTCAGGATTTATGTGCTGCGCAAAAAGACCGTTATTTTTATTTTTTTTGTCAGACACACTTCCAGGAAAAGCGTGTCTGTTCTCGTCGGCACAAGCCTAAAATTCAGAGCTTCCATTGATATTTTGGCACGAGATCTCTCAACGGACCCCCCTCTCCCCCTTCTGCCAACCAAAGAAACACCAGTTTAAAAAGTGCAATGGAAGCTCTACCTGGCTGGTTTTCAGTGTGCAACTAACCAGCATAAGTAGTGCCTGTATAAGTGTGTGTGTTACTTTTTTTTCCCTCCCCTTGGCATTGGTGCACTCCAGCATAGCCCTTTCTTGTCAAGACAAGGTACGCACACTGTGAAGTTGTCATTTCACACAACTTCTTCCATTGAAACCTAGTGGAATTTCAGCACTCGCATTCCTGTGGTATTTTGGGTGGAGTGAGCTGTCCTTCGATTCAAGGTGAAATCAGAGCAGTTGGCCTGAGGAGCATGTTTCCCAATATATATTTCATTTTATTTTTTTCTTTCTTACCCCCCCTTCATGTTTATCTTTGGGTTGGTCTGTTTGCATTGTAAGTGGAGGTGGTTTAAGCAGCATGCTGGATTTCTGTCTCTGCATCAACATCAGTGTCTGGGTATTTTTTTCATCTACTGTTGACATGCTTTGGAAATTTGAGTCTTTAAATTCTTAGTTTTGCACAAAGCCAGATGGTAATGCAAGTTATGATTATGAGAGACATAAACAGTGACATGATCATTTCTCACTGGTTTTTGTGCCTAGTTTGCATTCATCTGCTATTTTATTTGGTCTGTACAGCCAAACGGTCCAATCTAGCAGTCCTGCAGTAAATCCTCCTCTTTATAGTACCCGCTACGACTCCTACCAACTGCGTGAGGAGCTGTAGGGGTTTGGTTACTTGCGGATTGAGTGGAGGCCCTTGTCGTCTGGTCCATGGCTGCCCTGACTGGTGTTAGGGACATGGAACGCCACCCCTCTTATGAAGAAAGAAGCTAGAGCTTGTGTATGAGGTCTGTCGCATCCAACTGCAGATTGAGGGTCGTCTGGGAGTGTCTGGCAGAGTCTCCAATCGGGGAAAACTTATTCTTAGGCCATGTTCTGCTGTTGTGGCCCCCTAGACCCAGAGTTGAAAGGTGCTGTCATCCAATGGATCTTGGTTATTTTGTGTCTTTGGTCTCTGGAGAATGTCGTAGGTAACAGAGGACCAGATGACTTTGGATTTAACTCAAGGATGCATTGTACCTACAGGTTTTTCTATTATTTAGGCCACCACATTTATATCAGTACCTGCAGATCAAACACCTGTGTAAAGCAATAACATAGATTTCCCTGAAATCATCTTCATTCTTTCACTTTTGTTGTTGTTTTTTTTTTTAAAGATTATTATACATCATCAAGTGTCATCATGGAGATATCAGATTTACTTTGAAAAGCCCCGCCTCTTTATGAGTTGTAAATTATAAAGATACATACCCATTATATTACCAGGACATAATGGAGGGGACTGATTGGTTTTTCTGTACCCTGATTGTTTTGATGAGGCAACATTGAGTGCTTAGAACAGCTGTCTGAACGACCTTCACGAGGGAGGATTTTTTGCAGGACTGCTCAAGTAGATCGTTTCAGTTTTAGCTAATGATACTAAACTGGCAACTGACTGTACACCAGTATCAGCCTGCTTGCAGTTGAGTCAGTGAGGTTGCTCCACTCACTTATTTATTTGCATTTTTTTGATTAAAGTAGATTTATTCAAAAATAGATTCATTCACTTGTTTTTCCAAGTAAACTTTTTAGTGTTATTATCAGATTTTTTTGTCCATTTCCTCAAAAATCACAAAAAATACAAACATTAGGAAAGTGCGCTGATCTTTTATTCAAGATAACTCATTGCCTTCTGTTTGTTGCTCAGTCATGCTTACGTGTCTAGTCAGCCAAGAAAAACCCCGTCTGGATTTCAACATGGAAATATTACAAGATTGTCTGCTTCCCGTACAAAGACAATCTAGTACTCCAAATCTATAAAACTTCTGACTTTAGAATGCATCTTATCGGACCCACCATGTTTTTCTTTTTAATTCCATTATTATGAGCTTTATGCAAAATGTGGTTGGGTGAGGGTTGTATTGTTCCCATGAAAAGACCAAAGTAACTGACTGAGCTGTCAGCAAACCTGAATAGAAATAAAAACGTCCTGTGTTTTTTATCGATTTCCCAAAAGCTACAGCCAGTGTGGTTTTAAGCAGACATTATTTAAACTGGAAAAGTTGTACGTTTGTTGGGGACTGTTTTCATTGGTGGATTAATCCCATTTTAATCCAATAAACTCCAATATGTGTGTTCATGCTAATGCTGTTGTGCAGTTTGAGACTGCATATCTCTATCGGGGATGAAAATTCTCTCTGCAGCATGCCTGAATTGAATCCCTGGATGCAGAAGGATATTGAAGACAGATTTGTTTACCTCTGTCTTCATGTTCCAGTTGGTAACAACATCCATGTGACTAGAAGCATGTGACCTCAGGTGGTGCTTTTTGCATTGTTGTCTGATGAAGATGAATGCAATAAATCTGTAAAACTGGGGCCCTGCAGTTCATGAAGTTTGAATTTTTTTTTAATTTTGTTGAGAACCTCAAGATGGTGACATTAGACTTTTTCCAAATTATCATTAATATTTATTTTCTTTTTTTCCCCTTCTACCTTGTTCTGCTGGAGAGTTCTTCCTTTTAAAAGGGAGTTTTTCCTTCTCACTGTCACCAAGTGCTTGCTCACAGGGGGTCGTCTGAAGACCGTTGTTGTGATTTAAAGCTACATAAAGAAAATTGAATGGAATAGGTTTTCTTATAATATTGAGATTTGCATTTAGGCAATCGTGAAGAACCCTTTCAAAAGTTTCTGGATGTGGATTGAATCCACAGCGCAGTGGTTCGAACCTCACTGCAAGAACGTCCCTGACTCGGATAAGTGGAAGAAAATGGACGAATGTCATGAAACAGAAATGCTACACCGCTCCCAAACTCATCTCTTTGGTCTTTTCATGGGGTAGCTGAGTTTAGAAAAATTGGCGAAATTACCAACAATATGTTCGAAGGCTTGCGGATGAGTATTTTTGTAAATGCGCAGGTGTTGCAGAGGTTGCCAGTTGCCATCCCAATAATCTATAAAAAGCATGTCATCTATAGATTTCAGGAGGTTGGGATGCATTTAATCATCTGCCCAGTCCTTGTGTCGCCTCATTTCATGGTTGGTATCGTTTTCAATCACTGATCATTCGGAGCTGTCGTGTGGGATGAGTTTGGTCGTTTCCTCTGCGTTTGATTCATGTTTCTCTCGCTCAGGTAAACGTAAAGCCCTGAAGCTGAACTTTGCCAATCCTCCCATCAAACCCATGACTAGATTCACACTGAACACGGCCGGGCCGCCCTTCCAGAACCCTCACATGTGAGTGAGCTTTCCCCCAGGCTTGTCTGTTAATGTAGTTCATCCAGTTTCTCGTTATTTTGGCTGGCTCTTTCTTTCTTCCCCCTCAGAGAGAGGCTGAGGACACACAGCATCGAGTCCTCGGGAAAATTGAAGATCTCCCCAGAGCAGCACTGGGACTTCACAGCCGAAGATCTCAAAGATCTGGGCGAGATCGGCCGAGGAGCTTACGGCTCCGTCAACAAGATGGTGCACAAGCCGAGTAACCAGATCATGGCGGTCAAGGTGATCATTGCCCTTTCTCTGTCTGAGCTAAAACTGAACACGGGAGCGATGTCTGTGAGTCTGTTTGATACGTATGGAAGCATTTTGTCATTTTCAGAGGATTCGATCAACAGTTGATGAGAGAGAACAGAAGCAGCTGTTGATGGACTTGGACGTGGTTATGAGAAGTAGTGATTGTCCTTACATCGTGCAGTTTTATGGTGCTCTGTTCAGAGAGGTGAAATGAAGTCACTTTGTTACAGAATGAACAATAATGTCTCACCTCAAAGGAAACAAGTGACTGAATATTCCTTGTTTGTTTTTTTGTTTTTTCAGGGGGACTGCTGGATTTGTATGGAACTTATGGCTACCTCGTTAGACAAATTTTACAAGTTTGTATATGGCTCATTAGATGATGTGATTCCAGAAGAAATATTAGGAAAAATAACTTTAGCTGTAAGTTTTTTGGACTCGAGTCTTCCTTATTTTATCCATATTAGAAGCCCGATTATCGTCTTGTTGTCCTAAACTCTGTTTTTGCATGTTACAGACTGTGAAGGCACTTAACCACTTAAAAGAAAACTTGAAAATTATACACAGAGGTAAGAGGATACCTGACTTTCACCATTGTAATGCATTTGGATCATTGCGTGTCTTTTCACCAGCCGTGTCTCTTAACTCAGACATTAAGCCGTCAAACATCCTCCTGGACAGGAACGGCAACATAAAGCTGTGTGACTTTGGCATCAGCGGTCAGCTGGTGGACTCCATCGCCAAAACCAGAGATGCCGGTTGCAGACCGTACATGGCGGTGAGTAACAGGATGAGGTTACCGAAGTAGAGTTAGCCACAAATCGGCTTGAGTCCATTGAGCTTCATGGAAAATGACAGCTCTGACCAACCAGTAGTTCAGTCACTGTCCACTTTATTTATCACCTGCTTATTCATGCTGTTACTCAGTGAACCAGCCATGTCCCAGTAGTGCCGTCTACAATACCACAGCTTGAGTTAAACATTAGGATGGAGAAAATCTGTCGTCTAACGTTGGTCATTGTGTATTTCCATCATTCTTATGGAAGAAATTGTGGGTACTTGGAAAGAGCCAATAACATGAATTTCAGTGGTTAATTAAACATTAAAACAACATGTTTATAATCACTAGAAAAATTCAATAAAAAAAACAAAACACAAAATTGGCTCATTTTTGTGGCAATTTTACCTGAAAATCGGGTCTAAATGAGGTTTGAAATCTTTGTTCCTGCTCATCTTAGAAGAGCTCTAAATGAATAGAAATCTTAGCATGTTTCTAAGTCTTCTCCTTGTATAAAGACTCTGGTATCTCTGAAGCTGCTGATCTCTTGAAATTTTCACAGTAAGAGTCTAGTTCAGGACAGAGGTGGGTTAATGGGATGTTTAAAAACAAACAAACAACTAATTGGCTTTTGTGAAGCTCTCTGTATACCTGACTGCAGCACCATGAATAACTGAATAAACAAAGTTCCACCAGTAAAGTTGAATTTAAAGTGGCTGAGAAAGACCTTGTAATATACGCTACAAAATGCATTATGGGTAAATGATAGTTGGGGAGATTGGGGATGGGATAGACAATGAACCTTCACTGTGTGTTTTTCCTGCAAATTGCCCATCTCGTAATAGACTCAGTTAACCATCTTCTAATGGCTGCTGCCATCGGGATAATGACGCGAGTCACGCTGCAACGATCGCTTCAAACAGGTTTCATAAACATCAGAGTCCCTGAAATGAGCTGAAGCACCTCTAGGTACTTATGTTAAGCATTAATTTCAATGATCACCAGAACATAAAACTGCACCGACTGCATTAAAAAGCTTTTTCTGCTTTCTAATAATAAGTTTTGCTTCTTCCACAATTTTTTTTTTTTTGTAACCTGTGTTCAGCATATTTTGAGTGTGTTGTGCTGCTTAATTGGATCTGGTATTTAGCAGCACAGGGATGTGGTAGAATGGAGTCGATGCATGAAAGTGCAGCTGACAAAATCTGATAAATTGCAGAATTTTTGAAGCAGAGTCTCAAAGGTTTGTAGTGCCTCGTAGAATCCAAGAACTTAGCTGTTGAGTAGTTACAATGAGGACCAATCAACTATTAACTGGTTATTTTAAATAATTTCACTTATCAGTAAGAAGGTTACTGGTCTTGAATGTTCCTCCTGGGTTTTGTGCTGACTGTAAACGACAGACAGTCAGAGGTTACAACAGTTCAGCCTATTATATCACATGAAGGTCTTAATGATAGTCTGTGCAGAGACACCATCCTCAATACCTGAAATCCTGTTAGAGGAGAAAAAATGAATTGTTTAAGAAACAGTCGAATATGTGTTTTAAAGGATTTTTAGTTCTTTATGAGACTTTAAGTAGAATATTTGGAGATCTGTTGCTATTATTTGGAAAAAAATTAAAAATGCTGATAAACATTTTTTTTTAATGTACAGGTCAAACACCTGACGATAAATAATCTGTCACATTGTTTTTTCTCATTAATCACACTGTGTGTCGTACACATGCTTGCGTGTGTGCATGCAACACCAAAGCTTTCAAAGAGGTGATCTCATCGTGACATCATCGCTTGAGGTTATTTTTGCCGCAGGGTTACGTCAGCTGGGGGGCACCTCCTTCTGACCCTCCGTACCTCCTAGCCCTCCTTGTCTCTCTGCAGCAGTTTCCATTCTAAATTTGGTTAGGCGATATTAGGACCCGGCGGTACGCGGCCTCCTCTGCACGCTCTCCGCTCTCCCAAAGGCCGCGGCAGGGCGCTTCATTCATGACTCTGTATGAACCATGTTACCCGGGAGCTTCCCACGGCTGTGAGCTCAGCGTGCAGGAATCTCAGCTCCAGTTTCTGGTTTCCAGCTGGCACACACACCAGGTGTGTGACCGCCGTGCTGCTGGTTACTACAGGCTCAGTGACGTAGAAAAACAGACCTCGGTGCAGCTGGGAACAGAGCACACACTTTACCTCAGGCTATAGCCTGTACCGGATGCATGTGGATGTTGGACTTTAGAGGACCAGTAGCTCTTGTTCACAGCTGTTAGTGGTTCTGATAAAGTTTGTAATAATTTGGCTAATTTTCTATTTTTTCTGTAGATACTTAAAGTATTAAATTTGAACCAATTTCTCTTTACTTTAGTAGTTTGGTTGTGGTTGTATCCAGCACAGTTATTCGGCTTTTACAGATTTGCTCAGAGCCTAATAAAGTTTGGTTTCTCAGGGCAAAGATGCAAATCTGATTACTGGAGAGGAAAATCCAGATATGGAAAAAAATGCTGTCTAATGATTTCTTCACTAACGTTATGTGCAGTGGTTGTGTAGACGAAGTCTTGGTTGATGCGTGCAGCCTCTTGCTGCAGCGCAGAGCGTCCCACTCAGCTGGGTGACATCAGCCTCTAATTCAGGCCTGTAAATGGGCCAGCGAGGTGCCTCCTCCTCTCAGTGCTGCAGCAGGAGATCTCTGCAGCTCTCTGACGCACTTTGTCTCAGAGCCGCAGAACAGACACGGGAGCAAAGTGAAGGTTGATAATGTCAGAAGAAGCTTCGCAAGGCAGGAAGGAGGCAGCGAGCTGATGGCATGTCGTTGTGCAGGCGAAAGCATGCCCAGAGGCGATGAGCTGGTTTAGTGCTCTTAGGGCTAGCTGTTGGTTTTGGGAGCACAGATTTCTTTCTTACCATCTTGTGTGCAACTTAAAATGCAAGAGAAACACTTGGGTTAGATCCTAAAATCCAAACTAAAGTAATCCTTTGTGCTTTCCTTGCACTGTGGAGGTTGTGGGCTTTCTTTCTGTTAATGCTGAGGAAGAAAGGGTGTGCAGTTTTAAACCGAACACTCACAGTGACCTCTGGTGTCTAAAGCCTGCAGCACAGTTATTGCATTATAGGGGCAAACCTTTCCAACCTGGGAGGTGATTCAAAGCTGCGTTAACGCCTTTTCTAAGACTCCAAGACACACGCTGTTTATCTCTTATGGTCAGAGCATAAGCCTGCTCAGGAGCTGTCTCAGCAGTTCAACAGCATAGATGCATCATCTCAGAACATTAATTCACTAACGTACTTGCTAATATGTTAGTGATTCAGACTGTTTTTATCTTTAATGAACACACGTGTGGTTTATAGCAGCGGTCCCGTTTGGTGCCGGGCCGCGAGAGATGAGGCTCGGGTGTGAAATTTATGGTTTTCGGGGGTTTTTATCATTACTTGTTTAATCGTTTTTATTGTTAACTCTGTTTCCCTGGGTATTTTCCTGTGTGTTATGAATAAATGTTCTTTTTTTTTTGGTTCCCGGTTTTATTTTGTTGTATTTATCCATCCGTGAAAACATTGTTGGACATAAACTGGTCCGTGGCGCAAAAAAGGTTGGGGACCACTGGTTTGTAGTATGTTTCCATCACTAAAAACCCCTGATGAGCTTTTCTTTTCCTTGAAAACCAGTGTTCAATTTAAAGGTGCTTGCTTCGTCCTGTTTCTGTTGTCAGCCGGAGAGAATAGACCCCAGCGCGTCCCGGCAAGGTTACGATGTCCGCTCAGATGTCTGGAGTTTGGGAATCACACTGGTGAGTTTCAGCTCTTCTTACGTCTCTTCAGGTCCTGAAAGAACCTGGAAAATGACTGTGGAAATTGTATTACATATTTTGCATGTTGTTCTTTTGGTCTAGAAACTGAAGCACAGGAACGTGTACAGAGGGCATCGTTGCAACAAATCCCTATTGAAGGCAGAGTCAGCCTTAAGCTTTGGGGGGGTTCCCCCAAAAAATCAACAAATACTTTAACAAGACTTAAATTTCTCGCAAACTGAATATTAAACTGTTCGATACAGTTTAAAACAACAGCGGTGACTGGTTTTGGTAATGTGGCAGACTTGTTCTAAAAGCAGTCTTCTTGGATTACATCTCGTATGGTGGTACACTGGTTGGCATCCTAACCTCACAATAAGAGGGTTCTGGATTCACATGCAGGCTGCACGTTCTCCCTCTGCTTGCACAGGCTTCTCTGTACTCGGTGCTCCAGCTTCTTCACACTGCACCTTCAGCACACACAGACCAGAACAAAGGAAGAAAAGCCAATCGCTGAAAGCCTCGTGGTTTCCAGAGACGGCGCGACCTTTCTTTTATTAGGCCCATGATGACAGTGCATACAGTATGAGCAATAAACCTGCACTATAATCATTGTTGGAGGTCTGAAGTTCACCTTTAAACCGTTAGCACATTTAAATATAGTGTGGAGTAGCACCTCTGCTCTCTTCTCTAAACAAAGATGCTTTATGCAGTAAATGTTTATTAATAAATAAAGCAATCTGCAGAAAATGTTGGGATTTACGCCATATTTGTAGTTTTCCGCTCTCGGTGTGCTTGAACTTTAATGCTATGTGTTTCAGTATGAGCTGGCCACGGGACGGTTTCCCTACCCAAAGTGGAACAGTGTGTTTGATCAGCTGACCCAAGTGGTGAGAGGAGACCCGCCGCAACTCAGCAACTCGGAGGAGAGGCGCTTCTCCCCCAAATTCATCGCCTTTGTCAATGTGTGGTAAGAAATACCTCCATAGACAAGAATTTCTGTCTCTTTGTAGTCTGTGCTGTGTTCTCTTCTGCCCCCCGGTGGATTAATCACCGAACTGCACCCTCCCATAATTTAACACCTCTGCTTTCTTTCTCATCTTCGTCTCAAGCCTTACAAAGGATGAATCAAAAAGGCCAAAGTACAAAGAGCTGCTGGTGAGTTCATGTTAAGTCACCCTAACCTTTCATGTTTTTCTTTTTCTTCTAGGAGTTTGAGTTAATGTAATAATTTGTTTCTTTTTAATCCACCTCAGAGAGATCCGTTCATTCAGATGTACGAGGAGCGCTCGGTCGACGTAGCCGGTTACGTCTGCAGGATCATGGATCAGATGCCGGCCTCTCCCAGCTCCCCCATGTATATGGACTGATAGCAAGATGAAACAGGAACTCATCCATAAATATAAACCACTCTGCAATGACAGCATCAAAAAGAGATAACTAAGTAATTAAAAAAAAAAAAGTCCTTGTGTAAATTTGCTCGGTCCCATTATTGCAGTGTTAAAAAGAGAATTGTAAAGCCTAAAAAAAAAAAGAAAAAAAAAGCACCACGTGCAGTAAAAGTGGTGTCCTTTCAGTCATTTCTGTATATTAACACACTTCTGTTTCTTTCTTGTTCACAAACGCACAGACGCACAGTCACCTAAATATTAATAGCAGCTGAATCAATCAATCATGACTCATCCTGATCAGGATACATCTCAGTGATTTAGTAACAGTGATTTTAAAGAGAGGAGAAAAAAAAACCCCTGGAACTTGTATTTATAGAACCAAAAATCGTGGAGACTCTTCGACATACTGGAATTATGCTCTTTGTGAAATGTTCCCACCTCTTCATGTAACGAAAGCATCGTGTTTGGTATCTTAATGGAACTGTGCTTCTCTGGGTATAAAGCAGTTTAAAAGTGTTGGTAGTCAGTCATGTTGGACCCGCAGTCCACTCAGTGCTCGCTGTGCAGTGGACTCTAAGCTGATTTATGAATAAAGAGAGAGAAGGTTAAAGGTGTGTTCTGCCTCTTTACTCTTACGGTGTCTGTTCTGCCTGGATCCAGGTGACCTGCACCTGCAAAAAGGCAGCTATTTAAGGAGAAAAATGTAATATATTAAATTATGCCATGTGCCATACAGTTCCTAGTGAATCTAGAAAAGCACAAAACGTTCAGATGCTCAGACTATGACTGTGATTTAAACAACTTTTTGATGTGTACAAATACTGTTAACTACTTCTTCTAGCTGTTTACTTGTAATTGTGTTGGTTCATACTGTAGTTTAACTTTGAGTTTAATGGGGTGGTAGTAATATTATTGACATGTATTGAAAACCTAAAGTAGTGGCGAAACATACAGTAACAGGCACTGGGTGGAACAAAGAGTCACAAGAAACTACTTTTTGTCTTTCCAGTTTAGAACAATTATGTTCTTAGAACTAGTATGGATTGCTCATATTTCAGTGGTAGATTAACTGGTGCAAGATCTCCAGGGCTGAAAGTGTTGCAGTGATTTTTTTTTTTCTTGGTCACTTTGGGGACATAACCAGGTCGCATGCAGATAATCAGATATCAGCAAAGTATCAGGAACCCTGAAACCCATATTGTGTGTAGTTTATATTATGTAACATGAGCTTTATGTAAAAGTTTAATAATAATTGTGTATTAATAACACTGATAATAAACTAAAATCAATATAATCTAAAAATTGCTTACATGCACTAAATTTAGTGATTCTGTTTTTTTTTTTTTTATATATATAATTTTCGGTTTTTAAAGAGCTAACCATGTGTAATTTAACGTTTAGGCGTTTTATTTTGAAGTACTTTGTTTACGTTAAGCACATCTTCAAGAAGAGGCTCTGTTCCCGCCTCTGTCTCTGAAAACCCGAGAAGGGTCTGGCTGCAGCCACTGTCAGTGGAGCTCCACACTAACCGGAAACACGTGACCTCCACACTAACCGGAAACACGTGACCTCCACAGTAGCCGGAAGCACGTGACCTCCACAGTAGCCGTAAACACGCATGGATACCGTGGAAGTCTTGCAAGTTGATCGCAAAGGTAGGTTAAGTCTTTCTTAAATAAATTTGCCGTTAGTGATTTCATAATTCTAGGAATCGTCTAGTTTTCTTACAAT